ATATATATATATATATATTATATATATATATATATTATATATATATATATATATATATATATATATAAGATTAGGAACCAAATATGGCCATTGTCTTGTCTCGTTGAAATATCCAGCAAATTAAAAAAATTATCGAGTTTTTCGTGTTTTTGTTAATACATTTCTGACTTACCTTTTCAGGGTCTTTTAGCGCTCCAAAATCCTCATCGTCCTCCTCCAATATTTTTAGAGGTTTATGTGGTGTTCTTTTTCCTTTTGAGTCTCCTTTGCTATTGCCACTCTGAGAAAATGAAATATATACAAAACTATAATTAATAACATCTTGGTAATATAGATGATTCATATACTGGAAATAAAAAGGCATCCTGTATCTTTATTGTAAGTGATTGTAATATGGAGATTGCGCTTAGAATTCCATGTGTCTGGGGTTAACCACTGTGTCAGTGTGGGAATTAAGGTTAAGGTGGAACTTTATTGATCCAGCACTAGAGAAAGTTTTGTATTTGTTTTTGAATTACTTTTAGTCTTTTAATTAGTACTGAAACGAAAAATAAAAAGAGTGGAAAATGACAGATATGGCATATTGGCAAAAAGTAAAATAGAATAAAAATACCATTCCTAACAAGACACTTTCAAGAAATTAAGGCTGGCAAGATGAAATATTTGATTCATTTAGAGAGAGAGAGAGCGTGAGAGAGAGAGAGAAACCAGAACACCAAGTAGTACAATTTAGTGTTTTCCACTTATTCCACACTACATCCAGAAGTACAATTTACATTTATTATATGAATTATATTACCTACTACTAGGAACACTAATCTATCTATCTACTACTATTAACCGACTAATCTACTAATCTTCTTATAGTACATCCACTGTTCAGGTTTCTCGTATTCTTTGAGAGTGTGCTGCTACTCATGATTGTATTTTACCTATTCGTGTTGTTTTGGTGCTCTAATGCTGCTGGAGCCTAAATTTGCCAAGGGCAACTCCACAGGAATTAATAAAGTGCTTTCTTTCTTTCTATCGATCTATCTACTTGTTTATATTTGAATGTACTTATGGCATCCATTCAATTGTAGACAAGATGCTGCTATTAAACAAAATCTGTTCTCACTGCTGAAACATTCGTAATGTTAATATAATCAGCTTCAACTTTGCAAAATGCTTTTTAAACTGTGGCTCAAAAGTTCTCGAAACAAAGATGAATGATATGGGCGTGGCAAAGTGACTGAATGAATTCACTCATCATTCTCCCTATTCAAAAAATCAGTTTGGATCTCTGTACACAACCGACCCTAGAACAGTACAAGGTGCAACAGCCCCTAAAAACCACTTGCACTTGTATAATTAATTTTGTATTTACTTGGGCTTATTCACTACTATTGAAATAAGAACTTATTATAATTCTTCTTACTTATTAGAATTATTATTTTTATTAATATATGATGTATGTATACAGTGTTGACTTGCACATTTGGATGAAAGAAGGTGACATCTTCATGATGTATGTATACAGTGTTGACATTTGGATGAAAGAAGGTGACATCTTATGTATAGTAATAGTAATAGTTTAGTTGTCTAACATCGCTGCTGCCCACCTGTTCCTTTCCCTTTGACTTCTTCAGGAAGTCTTCCACTGCATCAACTGCCTGCTGAAAGCGTTTTCCTTTATTGATTTTAATCATCTCTTCTTTGTGGACATGGTAGGGCTTCAGCTGTTCTACTTTGATCCAGGCACTAGACAATTACAAGGAGAACCATCTTTTACATTCAGGGTACAAGGAAGACTGTAGGGTCCCTGTGAATCTGTGAATTCAGTGAAAACTTACTGGTCTTCTGTTCCAAAGAACTTTACAAAATGGCATTTTTTGCCTCTAGGTTTCTTTAGATCTTTTGGAGGACTTACTATCTGAAAAAAGAGAGACGTTTAATGAAAAATAATTCAAAGTAGCTGAATTTATTAAACATGTATTTGTCGAATCTTGATTGTTTACCTTTCCTGGCCACGGTGGATAACGGCCAAGCTTCCCCCTAAATGAAAGGGTATATTAGGTTGTGATATTGATGACAAAAATTATAATACCACGTCACAACTGATTGATAAGCAATTGAAAAGACAGCAATTACACAGAATTCTTATAGTGTAAGCCAGTCACATTACTGACTACTTAAGATTTGCAGCTTTTCCCCAAAACAATGCAATATCACCATTGGATGTGACATATTTGCTGGGTATTTTGCTTTGACATAAGTTAATTAACTATGAACTTTTAATGTTTATTTTTCTAAAGAATGCTGTGGAGGTTTTTTTCTTATATATATTTTTTTATATTTTATATCAATTACACAGATTCATGTTTACATCTTTTTTTAGGGCTGTAATCTCACTGGTTAATTATCGATCGATAAATTCTAGCTCGACCAAGATTATGAGATTATTTTTGGAGTGTTAATTTCATCAGGAATAAAGTACCAAGTGCTAATAACAGAATTTTCAGAGTACCCCTGTTTCGCAGATAACAGCCTGTCTTTAGAACATTCCCCTTGTTTTCACTACTGTAGATCTGCCCAATCCACAGACAGACATATTGAAGAACATACAACATACTACAAGGCCTAAGTCCTGTGGCTTGTTGAATATTTATTTACATTCAGTTCTCCTCTACCATGTCAAGGGCATCAACAGTCTGGTAGCATTTTACAAAAATAGTTAATGACAAAAAGTTGAAGGCAAAGTATGCAAGCATCACTTTGCATATCACAGTTCGACTATGAACATGGCATATAAAATAAAAACAGTAAACTAACTTGTCTGCGTCATGTTGCTTTGAATCAGAATTAGCATATTTTAGTGTTTTAGTCTAATAATCATTTTAATAACTGCAGGCCTACTCACATGCATCAACGGCAGTATCCCACAGATATAGCCATACCACACTGGAGGTTAAGCCACCTCTATCATCCAAATGCTTTATTTTTCAGTTATACACTTTTTCACTTCTGCATTCACCTTGAGCTGTTTTTTATATCATTATATTCTTAAGAGCACAAGTTTTAAGTCAATATTTAGTAATATTCGTGTCTCTACTGCAAAGCTGAGCTTCTATTTTCAGTCTTGCTATGTGCGAGGACATGCACAGAGCAAAAACAAAGTTCTTGTGCTGATATCACTAGATGACAGTACATTTTTGAAAATCATGGGCTACGATGTTGCGCACACGCATGTAATGCAAAACACTTTCAGAGCCGACAGACTCAAAACCGCTTTCATATAAGACTAAGACTATTAATCTTTATGTTCTTCTATAATTAATTTAGGTGGCCAAGGCTGCCAAGTACTGCACAGCCCCCGCACCAAACTGGTCGATTTTTAGTTGAAATTTTCACCAGTATAGTCGACCCAGACTTTCTTGAGTTGATTACAGCCCTATTATTGTTACAACCTTAGCGAAGGCCAGGGTTGGGCAATATTGGCAAAAAAAAAAAATTCTGATTACTTTTTGCAGATAATGATTAGTACCTGCAACTCTAAATCAGTTACCGTGTGTTCTACAATTATACTTACAAATCATCAATCAAACTTACTTCTTTATTCTAATAGGTTAAGAAAGTAAGATGTGATTAGTGACAAATCTGCCATGTTTGAAATGTCTAAACATTAAACGTTTAATAATGACTCTTGTTGCACAATGCACAGAGACATCAAAATCAAATAGGAAAATTGAGTCACAACAGTGATTTATTATTAAGTTTAATAAAAATGGGTCTGTGCAAATTATCCTATCACTGGAATGTCACACATTAGTGCATATTTTCACATGAATGTTCTTAGACCCTAAACTCTATCTTGGTTCCACTGTTTTCATTCGTTAATAGAAACCCACCATTTCCTAAAAATGGAGTGGCAGGATTTCTTTAAAAATGCAATATGCCACGGCCAGTGTTATCTTCCAGCACTTTGCCGCTAATAAGAACAGATTGAGTGAGGTGGCATTGCACAGTGGGGTTATGACTTAGAACACTACGGCACACTTTGGTTAGCGTCATTCAATCTAAATCCAAAAACCTCTTGACAGTGGATGTTGTTCTTACGAGGTACAAACTCGTCCTCATCTCAAAATGCTGCGGTACCATCACCTTCTGCTCCTGACATTATGCCTCATTCTCACATTAGTCACTGAACAAATGATGCACGATCCACTTGCTCACTTCCTAATTAGGCAGCTTTTGCTCGCCCCCTGTGGTTGGCTGACTATTTGTGGAGAAAGTGTTTGATTTCACATGCAGTGAATGCACTGTTTTTAAATGTTAATATCTTGACATCTTTCCATTCACTTTCAACTGGGCGGCCAAAATTGTGATTATGATTAGAATTTGATTAATCAAGCAGGCCTACTTTTCAATAAAAAAATGATGATACATTTTTATATAACTTCTTATACATCCTACATTTACGTTTTAAGAAAAAAACAGATTTGACTGGAATTTCAAACATTTGTCCAATAAATTGAAAACCTGCTGTCACATTGCAGAGTGCCATGTTTTTCTGGCAGAACCCCTGTAATTCATGTCACCAAAGTCTATCTATTTCGAATTTCTCTGCTACTGTATAAGTCCCGCTTAGTAGAATACAGCACAGCTCAGGTAACACTGTTTGCCAAGGTTTTTAAGCTTTGTTTGTTTGATGTAATAAAAGAGTTTGAATAAAAATATTTTGTAAGGAATAAGACCCAATTGCTCGCTTTAAGAGGCCTTTCATGTTGCATAATATACAATTGGAACAGTTGTTTAAAAACACAAAAGTATGATTACTCCAATTGAGATTAATTTCCTTAAACACAACTAGAACAGGAAAACAGAAAAGATTGATGGCAATATAAATTTACTATTTTCTTCTTCCAGTTTTTCCTTAAAGTGTTGCCAACCCTGGATGGTTTCCCTCCAACTTAACCTATTCTCTGCCTCCTCTAATGTTACACCAACCATCTCCAGGCTGTGCAATTCTGATTTTCTTTTAATGAAAGCACATGCAGTCAAATCACAAGTTCAACCACTTTCAAAATAAAGTCCTTGGTAACTGGATTTATGTACTAAATTGAAATTGAGTCAATTACTCTACTCCCTATGATGTTAATCTCAACATGGACATTAAATATAGATGCGAAGAATTTTTAGCATTTTCAGTTTTCGGCCAAAAGAAACAACATGACCAAAACAGGAAGTTATGATGATGCAAGCAAAAACCGCGGCTACTGCAGGCTTGTCAAATATCCAAAATTCTCTTTTTGACTAGGCAAAACTGCGTTAGAGATATCGGCAATACATATCCAGCTTAGTGTTTCAATGTTAAACGGCTTTCCATAAGTGCCAACATGTCTGCAGTGTGGACGCATTTCAATATATCTGAGAAAGACCCACGGATATCGATTTCCAAAATGTGTAATGCTGAAATTTCAAGAGTGGGTGGAAACTACACCATACAAAAGTACACTCTTTTCACCCCCTCTGTCAGCACGTTTTACTGAGATCTATTCGGATCCCCTGTACTTGTCACGACTGTAAGTGATCCACGTTAAAAAGATCATTATGCACAAGAAATGATCTGGGCCGCGATGGACGCGGAGAATCCACTTGGAGACGGAGAAGAGCACAGCGCAGGAGGAGAGCAGTGTGCCAGATGAGGAGCAGGCACCTTTGTTGTCTGACATGTTCTGTAAGATGCTGCAAGAGAGTGCCTCAAAAAAAAAAAAAAGAAATAATAATACTAATAGGTAGGATATTCTGTTCTGACTTTATTTTTCTGCTAGAGATTTAACAATAAAACATATATATAATAAATTATATATATAGATATGTATATCTATATATATATATACACACACATGTAACGAATGGGTTAACTGTTTACGGTATGGGAGGGAAGTACGGAGGTGTGATGAGACCGAGCACAGTGTGTGTATGAGAGTGGAGAGAAAGAGAGAAGAGAAAGGCAATACAAAAGCTGGGATTACAAACATTGTATAAGTTATATAAGAGTTGTTTTCATGTGTAATACGTGAAATTATGGGCATCATGATATCTAAAAAATGTATAGCCAAATATATTGCTCTCTTTTAATTGCACTGTAAAATCTTATACATGGATACAACATTTGACAAACTATATTTTATAAATTCCTGTCAATAACTGAATCCAAAGTCATGAAGTTGGGTTATTCCCAGAGAAAACAGTAAACATACAGAGTTACACGCGACCTGGTGGGCAGGCCTGTCAGTCTGCCCTTTCACTGCAGAGCAGGGCAGAGCAGTGGCTTAGATTCAGACCAATGTGGAGGTAGATACGATCGATAGAAAAATCACATAAAGAAACTGCCCGATCCCCACAAAATTAAGGAAATCAATGCCGATCAATCAGTGAACCTCTACCAATAACATGCAAATTTCTTTTAGTGTTTCAATTTTTTCGGCCTCAGTTTCCTTATTTATGGTTTTTAGTTTCAGTGCTGGTGGGTGAAAAATCCCCAAGAAGCAAAGGACTGAGAAGGAAATGGCAAAGTCACTAATGTGCGAGTGAGACGTAGTGTCAGAAGCAGAAAGTGATGGTTCCGCAGCATTTGGAGATGAGGGGAAGCTAGTTTGTCATAAGGCACGGGTGTCAAACTCGTTTTCACCATGCGGCCCACATCAGCAATACAGTTCCCCTTGAAGGGCTGGTTGTAAATGGAAGACTGTATACATGTAACTATTCCATAACGTATTAATAAATGTTCTTGAAATTGATTATTATACTGTGAGCAAGGAGGACTTCAGAAATATGGTAAAAACATTTGACAAAATATGTTATTGCCATACGCAATTATTTCTCCAAAACACTTGCGTAACCCCAAAAACTATGCAGTTTCTTGAGCAGGAGTTGGTAGGTGTTGCTGTACCTTCTAGCAAATAGTAAATTGCATATTTATTTTATATTAGCCATTTGTCTTAGGTCAATTTTATTTTGTTATTCATGATTATTTTTTTATTTTAGGTTTCATTTAGAATTGAAAGCCTTGTTCAAATTCTGTTTACTGACAACAAAAAGTGCAATAAAATATGATTTACCTAACATAATGAATACTCGTTATTAATAATTATGTTTTCAATATTGATAAAAATAATCCTGATTGTCATTTTTTGCCATAATCCTGACCTCACTACTGACTTAGTCAACTAGTAACATCGGGCAGCATTTAAATTATTTTAACAACTGTTTCTCTGTCATAAAACATGGCCTCAGAATGACAATACAGGTAACATACAGTCCCCTCCAAAAGTATTGGAACGGAATTCCTTTGTTTTTGTTGTATACTGAAGACATTTGGGTTTCAGATCAAAAGATGAATACGAGACAAAAGTTCAGAATTCCGGCTTCTATTTTATGGTATTTACATCGAGCTGTGTTAAACACCTCACAACAGAGCACCTTTTCTTTGAACCCACCCACTTTTCAAGTGAGCAAAAGTATTGGAACATGTGACTGATAGGTGTTTCTAGTTGCTCAGCCGCCCTTTAGATTGATTGCTGAAACATTAAATACCGTATTTTCCGCACTATAAGGCGCACTTAAAAGCCTTTAATTTTCTCAAAAATCGACAGTGTGCCTTATAACCTGGTGCGCCTTGTGTATTACTTCTGGTTTGCTTACTGAGCTTGAACCGATATTATAAAGCCAAACCACACAGCGCATCACACATGATGGCACACAACTGAAGCACACTGGGAGCCAACAATGACGTTTAACTCTGTTACCACAATTAGAAGATGCTCAGCAACTATTGTTACATTATGATTGTATAACCCAAATCTGCGCAACGCCACGCCGTGCATCCAAACACCCGGAGACTCTGAGTTGAGTTTTTGTATTGTCGATGTATGGTGCGATGCAGGACGACTCTTTCGGGGTCAAAAAAAATTTGTTTCTATCGATACAGGCAAAACACACGCTCTTTTTGCAAACCAACATCCGCACTTCCGCAAGGAACAGCATCAAAACAAACAATACGGTAATCGTCCAGAACAAAAATAGTGACAACCGCCTGACTCGGGAGGGGCGAACAACAACAACAGCGTCCTCCAGTGACCAACTTAGGTCACTACTGTTTTCCACAAATCTCCGTCCCTATTGATTTGCAACTCCATGCGTACCCATCTCACAGATATTGTCAAATCCTAAGTGAAGCAAACTAATTCGGGGCTAGCCATCATTCCGGGTAGATTAACCAAAGAATTCCAACCGCTAAATATTGGTGTTAACAGGGTGTTTAAAGTTAAATTGCGAGCTGCATGGGAGCATTGGATGACAAAAGGCGAACACACATTCACCAAGACGAGTTACGCCACTATCTGCCAGAGGATCATGGATGCCTGGGCTAAAGTATCAGTCTCATAGGTTTCACAAAAGCCGGAATCATCACAGAACAGCTAATTATTGGATAATGACGAGAGAGATCCGGACAAGCTTGACTGACTGTTTTGCTTCGCTTAATGCACCTTATAACCCAGTGCGCCTTACGTATGAAAATATTTCTGTTCATTGATAGTGCGCCATATAATGCGGTGCGCCGTGTGGTCCGAAAAATACGGTAGTTCTTATTTTTGGCTTTGGGTTTCACCTGTGAAAACTGTATTTGCTGTTAAGCAAACATGAAGGCCAGAGAGCTGTCTATGGGAGAAAAGCAAACCATTTTGAAGCTGAGAGAAGAGGGAAAATCGATCAGAGCTATTGCACAAACACCGGGCATAGCCAATAAAACAGTTTGGAATGTTCTGAAAAAGAAAGAAACTACTGGTGTACTGAGCAACAGACATCGAACAGGCCGACCAAGGGTAACAACAGCAGTTGATGACAGAAGAATTGTGAGAGCTGTGAAGAAACACCCGAACACAGCAGTCACTGACATCACTGCCAACCTCCACAGGGCAAGGGGGAAGGTATCACAATCCACTGTTCGAAGATGACTTCAAGAGAAGAACTATAGAGGCCATAACACAAGATGCAAATCACTCATCAGCAAAAAGTATCAGAAGGCCAGATTGGATTTTGCACAGAGTACAGAGATCAGCCACAAAAGTTTTGGAACAAAGTTTTATGGACCGATGAGACCAAGATTAACCTCTACCAAAGTGATGGTATGGTATGGAGAAAGAAAGGATCTGCTTATGATCCAACATACAAGCTCATCTGTGAAGTATGGTGAAGGTAATATCATGACTTGGGCTTGCATGGCTGCTTCTGGAACGGGCTTACTTGTCTTTATTGATGATGTAACTCATGATGGTAGCAGCACAATGAATTCTGAAGTCTACAAAACCATTTTGTCTGGCAATTTACAGAAAAAGGCATCCAAAATAATCAGTAGAAGCTTCATCATGCAAAAAGACAATGACCCAAAACACACTGTCAACACAACAAAGGACTTCATTGAAAAGTGAAAGGTCTTGGACTGGCCAAGTCAATCACCGGACCTTAACCCAACAGAGCAAGCTTTTTTTCCTCCTGAAGAGGAGACTGAAGGGAGAAACCCCCAGAAACAAACAAGAACTAAAAAAGGCTGCAGTAAAGGCCTGGAACAGAATTTTAAATGAAGAATGCAACAGCCTGGTGAAGTCAATGGGTCGCAGGCTTGATGCAGATATTGCAAGTAAGGGTTATGTCACCAAATATTAAATGTAATTCACTTTGAGTTAATTTAATGTCTGTTCCAATACTTTTGCTCACTTGAAAAGTGGGTGGGTTCAAAGAATAGGTGCTCTCTCCTGAGTTGTTTAACACATCTAGATGTCAATACCTTGAAATAAAAGCTGCAAATTCGGAACTGTTGTCTCGTATTCGTCTTTTGATCTGAAACTGAAATGTCTTCAGTATACAACGAAAACAAAGGAATTGACCTTGCCATTCCAATACTTTTGGAGGGGATTGTAAATGGTGAAAAATAGAAAAAAGAACATAATCATAATTATAATGGTGAAATATAGAAAAAAGAACATAATCATAATTATTGATAATGATAACCATGACTCCAATCATTGACTTTAGAATGTTGGTAACAACTTACCACTGGATTAAATATTCCTTAAGTATTAAAAAAGAAAGATATTTCAGAACTTTTTGTAGACATAATCAATAACAACAACGATAAACAACATAAACTATTCAAATATCTAATTTCCTGCATAAGAGACTACAGACTAGCACATTATTATGGCCATGTCTAAGTTCTCAATCCAAAAAAGTTATTACAGCAACTTCATGTTAATTTGTAAGATTTACAGGCTTTACTGTTTAATAGTACCTAAACTGGTTTATTGCATGTTAAAAGTATTAAGTTATTGTAAATATGCCACCACATATATTTACACAAAATACCTTGTACTTATCCATATTTATAGTATACCCCGAGGTGTAGACGACAAGTTAAGCAAATCTACTATTAAGATATTCTGAAACTCGCACATAATGTAACGATTATATACACAACACAACTTGTCGACGTTATTGTATACATTTTAAGGGAAGAACAGCAATACATTTTTGTTTTGTAAAGGAAACAAACAAAATCAACGTTACTAGATAAAACGACGTAACTGCACTCCTCTTGTGTGGGGTATTTTGGTCTCATTGCAGCCTAAAACTACGACAGTCGTCTCAACGCGGAAGACGGGTGCAAAGCCACTCTCAGCGGAAAGCTACTGTGATCGCTAAACTCATAAACCACAATAAGACACATGCGTCAGTAAATACACGACCAGGCGTTCATAATGGAACACTTTGTTAAACATATTAAACTGGCTGCTACACAAACGTACCTACGGGACATATGAGAACCATTTGTTAGCTAGTTAGCCTGCTTTAGTCGATCACGACGGCTGTTGGCCGTCTCTCTATTTGTTTTGGTTTGTACATCAATTGACCACACAAACGTTTGATTTAAACACACAAATAGAATAATTGGCGTTAGATAATTATTATGCATCTTTTAAAAACATACGTAACAATTAAGAATGTGTGTTTATACTATCTCACCACACCAAGTCCCCGATCCTCAAATGCACCGTCGCCATCTTACAACTGATACGTCGCGCTGCCAGAGTGAGTGGGGGCGGAGGGACAGACTACTACCATGATCGGGATCAAACACACCCATGGATGAACATATTGTTTGTCTTTGATCATTATACGTTTGTGTTTTCTTCTTTATATTATATTGCAATATACTTCTCTGTCTATAGTCTCATGGAGTGGATAGTCCGTCACTGATAACTTGTTTAATGCCTATTGCACTGCCATTACTGTCACCACTTTTTTAGAGCTTCTTTAATGCCTCTTAATAATCCTTTAAATAGAGAGGTTAATCTACAGTAGTGTCATGGTAAACGTAACATAGCATAGTTGGAAGTCAAATTAACTTTATTTGTATTGCCCAAATTCACAAAACACATTTTAAATTGACATTATAGTTTTTAAATATTATTGAAATTAAAATATCACGTAAATCCCATATAACAGGGAGAATTTAGTAATATATATAGTCCTAAATATTGTTGAAATATAATATTGTTGAAAAACAAATTTAAGCACATACTGAGCAAACATTTTGGCAACAATTAGGCCGTAAGGTGAACCACGAAAAGTCATTTAGAAATTGAATTCCGCTCCGAGGTCTTGGAACTACGCAATGTTTAGTTAATAAAAAAAATGAGTTATATTGAGCTTACAGCAAAACGTTCGTCGCAAAAAACCCTGCCCATTTTAATAACGTGGCATTTTATACAGAACTAGCGATTTCGGTGCGCGAGAGGTGCCACGGTGGACACGTGACCGGACTACACCAATAGGATAGCAGCTTTTGGTAAACAGAATAGCAAGATGTTTACCTGCAGAGTTTCATCTAGTAGTTCCGAAGAAGAGGAAAATTCATCAAAATTAGTTAAAAAACAACCGAAGTCTTCAGGACATAAACAGTGCTATTCGCACATAGCTGTGAAGCACGAAAAAATTCAGGATTTCACACTCGCACGGTGGATTACGTACAAGAAGAGTCTACAACGGTGGCTCGGGTTGAAGGGTGTGTGTGGATACGTAGCTGAAAACTACAAACACTGCCTGGATTTGGAGTTTGAAAGCATTCCTGAGAATGCTGTTTTCCATCCCACATGCTACCAGAGGTTTATTGACAAGAGTGAAAACGCGTCTCGGGCGTGAGAGAGGAGAGGATACGAAAGACCGCTCATTAAGTGAGGCCATCGCATTAACATCGAGTAGGACGACAAAGAAACTTAGACCCAGGTCCGACTTGCCCATTGCGAGCTGTGGCCCCGACCTTCCAGCCATGTGCATAATATGCAATAAAAAGGAAAAATACGTCGTAATGCAGACCTTACAGGAGTGGGCAAAAACCTCGGCTTGTGCATAACACATAGGGATCAATGTCACTGTGTGATTGTAATGGAGGGTGTACAATCTGTTCATGCTGCATGCTGTAAGTCTGCAGACAAATTTACCATGCAGCTTATAATTTTTCACAGGGACGGGCAACAGGACACGAATCATTAACATTACCAAAGTGTCATCAGCTCTCAGAACAATTGTGTGTTCAGCCTTGATTGTCATACATACATTCTCTCTCACCTTAAGGCCTTAAGGCCACATTTTCAGGCTGCAGGCATGAGGTCCTGTGTCAAACAAAGTATAGGTGCACCTTCACCTGCTGGATACGGACATGAAAATCTACATGTCACATGGATGACAAGAAATCTGGCCCCTGAGAGTGTTTTGCATGTCATACACTGCAGCTGCAAGGAGAGTGCCAGTGAGACAGGTAGGTCTTTCTGTGTAGGTGTTGCAACTGTGCAAACATAAAGGAAATTGAGGAGAATGAGGATGACGACTGCCCTGACACTGACAGTGAAGACTAACATGTCATGTGTAGCATTTTGCCTCAGGTTGCATTTTCTTATGCTTTTTTTCTTATGCTGTTTTGTACTGTTTTATATATTGTTCATCTGTATATATGTTTTAATAAAGATTGTTTTCTATGATTGATCAGTGTTGTATTTAGTTAGGAGTGAATAAATTAACGAATGACTAAACAAATTATTGATTGTCATTGATTACTTCCTTTTATTGATCATGATGACATAGAAAGTTCACCTTATTGTCTATTTGCCTCATTGTTTTTTGTGCAGGCGGCACTTTTTGCCAGCTTTAGAAGACTTTTGGGGGACTTCCTCTCTATCTGTAACGTTAAGTAAACCAATTGAGGCAGCCGTGTTGCCGGAGTGTTGACATCAATCAACACTGGCACGATCACGCGTCGAACCGTGCCTCCGCTCCAATGTGCAGGATTTTTTGCGACAAACTTTTTGCCGTAAGTTTAACATAAACCTTTCTTTTTTATGTAGTTCAGATCGTGCAGTTCTCAGACATTCAAGCGAGATGAAACGATAATAGGGTTCACCTTATGGCCTAAATGGGGAAAAAACTCTGAAACTCTTTCTTTACCAGTAAGAAATCTCTAGCAGATGCAGTAGTGAAAGAGAGAAAGGGCAAAGTTGGGGAGATACTAGAGGGGGGAGGAAAGAAGTAGAGAAGAGTAGTTCACATATAACACTATAATATCTGGAGTATAGATAGACAAGCTGTTACACTGCAAAAATACAGATGAACTTCATCATTGGAGTTAGATATTATTAGTTATGATTAACAAATATGAATAATGAGAGGTCAATGAAGTGTCAGGTCTGAATACGTACTGACAGACAGTGACAAGGAGAGAGAAGCAGGAGACCAGGTGATTGTCATGACATGTGTATATGAATTAATGTGTATATGTTTCTAAGTAAGGGATAACTCAGTTTTAACTGAGCCAGCCCTACATACAGTATATAGAATTTATATACAAAAAGGAGGGCTTAAAGTCTAACTTTCAGTAAAGAGATGGTGTCAGCCTCCTGAACCCACACCTAGCGCTGGTTCCAAAGTTGAGGAGCCTTTTGGCTGAAAGCTCTGCCTCCCATTCATATACATTGTAAGTAGGCCTGTGTTTTCAGAGTGAAGTGATTTATTTTCAGCTTGATAGGGTCCTCCTAAGGAGCCATTGAGGAGAACCCAGGACTTGGGTGATATGGTATATCACTCAAGTCCTGAATATCACTGGATATCCATATCACTGGATATCTAGTGATACGGATACAGCAGAGAGTTACAGTAGAGAGAGAGAGAGTACAGTAGATGTAACAAACAGATGTAACAAAGGCATGATTTTTCAGTGGATCTGGACCGTACCACGGCTTCTGCTGGCCACCTCCTCTGTCACAGTTGCCACTGACTCAAGAATTCCTCTGCCGTTCCCAGGCCACCACCACTGCCTTCACTGCAGCTCCCTCTGGCATCATTGCTTTGGACTTTTTCATTAATAAATCCCCTGTGCTTACCTGCTACTCTATCTCTCCTGTGTCTGCTCTACTCGCTCCCAGTGAGAGCGATAACAAAATGGCCTATTAATAGCCTTCCTACAACATGTCAGCTTCAGAAGTTGGTAATGTGTCCATATATGTTAGAGACTGCCACGTCTCTGCAAAAGTATTATGATCATTCATTAATGTACATGTATTTTATTTCAAGTTGAACACAACGTATAATTTCTGTAATCCATTTTACAGTAGAAAGTTGGGAGTTCGACTTCTACGTAATGGCTACGTAATTTAAGGCAATTTTAAGGCCAGTGGGCTTTTCTTAATTGCGCATCAATCTTTGTAGCGTCTCCTAACAAATAGATTTGTGGATCTAATTGGTGATGCAGCCCTAGAAGATTTGTCGTGATGTCAGAAAAATCATGCCAGAATATGTTAAGTTTTGTGCGTATGTTAAGTGCAGTGCAGGAATCAGCCCGCTTCTATAACACATTTTTCGAAGGTTTATGTTCATGCAATTTCTGTGGCCTAAGATAGGTTTGATAAATTATAATAAGTGAGCCTGTGTCTGGAGTTCTTGAAAAAACTGAGACGAGAGCCCTGTGCTTATTGTCACACACACACAAGTCGAACTATCATTTCTCCCTTGATTTATGAGGCCTTTATGAGGCCTTGGTCGTTGCTCTACTTTGCATAAAAGTGATCTAGTTTGTTGTCTTTTATAACATGCACTGTACCTTAATTCATCCGCGGGATTCGTGTTCTCTGATTAGGCTGAATGACCACTTTTGCCAGTTATGTCTTTAATCTCGTAATTTTATATTTGGTTATCCTCAATGTTGCTTTAATTTTCCGCCGTAGTCACGAATATAACATTTTCGATTTCACTCAATAATCTGAATTGTTCTTAAAAAATGTATTTAAATATAAGTATTTCAACGACATAATTCCCGAACGTTTTATTTTTATAAAACAATTCAGTATTTCATTTAGGTAGTGGCGGATTTTCCTACAGCCTGTAAAGGCAACATTTAGTCCTTCAAGGTGCTAGTATAGCCGCTGCTACATTTTGAGCAGAGTAAAGGGTCGTGGAACGTTATCGCCAAGGCTCTTTCTTCTCAGAAAATGAAAAATTCGCAGAGGAGTCTTTCTGAGCTGCCCAAGATGTCGGTTGCCAGTAAAGTGGAGAGAGCGGTGCTGGTAAGCTGCTTTGCGATGTTTTCATGTTTAGCTGTTCTGCCCATCATTTTCAACCGTTTACGTAACAGTGTTGTTTTTATATTTGTAGAACGTTTTGCGTTGCAATAAATCGTTTCGATTCTGGTGCATTGAAGTAATCCGAGAACATCGCGTACTGCAATTAGAGGTCTGCCTTCATGATGATAATGTAGTTAGTAGGCCATATATCTTACCTGTAACGTTGGAATTTCCATTGTAAATAAGTTTGATAAATTTGATTAGTAATAACTAGTAATATATTGTTAATGATAATTTTTATGGTATTAGCACTGTTCAGGGCTTCTGTCCTAAACCGTAGCGGGTTTAAGCAGGTTTGGTATTATTAAATAAATTATCATATTTATTAATAACAGGAATTCATTCATTCAAGTTTTGCACATCAGTAATGCGTAACATTCACGTACTAATTGGCCACGCCCACTGTACGATACCTTTGCGGGAGTTCGTAAATTATAGCTTAGCAATTAGAAGTGCAAAAAAGTAAGTTACTGCGCTGGAAGAGCACAGGAAATCACTGGGTTATGGATGTCAGAGTCTATTCATGGAGAATACAGTTAGGTGTACAAAAGCACGGCAGACCGAGTCAATTATAATAACTGAGGTTACGGCAGTTCAGAAGATGTATACAGGGCCGCTGTTCTGAAGTTTTCTCCTACCTATAGTTTTTTGGTATGCGAGTCAACTGCGCATGCGCACATTGGCCGGTAGCAGAAATGTATAGCTATGGCTGAAGTTTTTTCCTACCCGTAGCGTAAATTTATAGACATATCTGACATTTGTGTTCAGGGTGGTACAACATTATTATACTGTACACATCAAATCTTAATAAATATGTGCTTCTGACTCTATGTAGAGTGGTAGCACATTACAATAGGCATGAAATCGCTATAAATACGTGCTTCACAGTGTATTCAGAGTGGTAGCACATAACTATAGGTATATAATCGCTATAAATACGTGCTTCTGACCCTATTTAGAGTGATAGCACATTACTATAGACATGAAATCGCTATAAATACGTGCTTCTGACTCTATTCAAAGTGGTAGCACATACCTATAGGTTTGAAATTGCTAAAAATACGTGCTTCTAACTCTATTCAAAGTGGTAGCACATTACTATAGACATGAAATCACTTTAAATACATACTTTGGACTGTATTTAGAGTGTAGCACATTATTTGAGACTAAAGAGAAAATCCCTGTTAATATATCTGTTCTCTCAGGGTTTAGGGTAGGACTTTATGTTTTTTACATTTACATGTACATCTTAAACCAGAGGGAATGTAAAAATGTTACCTAATGCAGCACATACTGTAAAACAGAAAATAATCACGCTTAATCTAGGATTTTTCAGCAAAGTGTTTATTTTTACAAATAGTAAATGATAAATAAATGATCATAATATACAATACAGAACATTTGGGTTTATTTTACATTTTTTAGCTATTTTCCAATAATATACAGGCTATGTCCATCCTTTGTTCACTGACAGCTTCTGGTGTTGTCTGCACATCAGATATGTTTCCACTTAGAAGGAAATTTCCGGCGTACTGTAAATGAAATATGAATGTAATTATGTGCTTGATTTGCTACATTATCTACATAACAACACATGTTCTTCTTGATACATAATCTTTACAATTAAATACTATTAGCTTAATCGTCAAAGTACATAAACATAAACTTGTATCGAAATAGTACCTTTAACATTAGAACCCCACAACTGCTGAAATCCATCTGTGTGTTGTGGTCCATGGTGTGCACTGTCCACACATATTTGGATTCCTCCCTTGACCTGTTCCTCAGGAAGTTTCTATAACAGCATAAAAAATATTTTTTAAGCTTTTTTTTCCTCTCTTGAAAAAATGTATCTGTGCAAATTATTCTTTATATTACCGTCAGTTCCTCAGAATCTTCCTGTTGTAGGCAACCTCATTCCACCTTGGGTCAATTACAGTGAGGAACCTCTCTGCCATGTTCACAACCTTAAGTAAAGTAATTTCATATTTCATATCAATAAACCGGCTGTATAAGGACTTCTTCTGTATAAGAAGAGGGAGCTTGCCACAATGGCATTGGGATAAAATATGGCTTTCTGATAAAATGATCAATATATTTGTTAGTGCAAAAGTACAGTACATCCATAGACCATGTCAAGTAACTTCCATTCAAAAGTAACACGTACCTTGTGGGTGATAGGGTGTGTCTCAGCCCACCTCCTCTGTTGAGTGTTGTTTTTTCCAGGTTGACAAAAATGGCTTATTTTATGCTTCTCTCAAGCCATCTGTCTTCCCTGGTCAAAATGTGAAAATGAGTCCTGTCCAGAAGAAGTTGCCCCCCCTGTGATGACTAAGAAGCATCATAGACAGAAGTTAAAAATGTTTATGTGCATTGCTATATAACTTTCAGCCCCAAATCATCCAATGTAAGATATTTTAGAATGAAAGATCAGTGACTTTTTTCCATTAAATGTATATATTAAAATTATTTCTCTCAGAGAAAAAGGCAACTCTGATATAAGTTCACACAAGATTCATAAAATGGTTAGAAATTATGTGAAATTTGCCCTTTTCTCCATTTTTGTGTAGTTCCAATGCACACAAAGGAAATAAACCGATTATATGCCAAAAAAAACAAAACAAAACATAGCGATCAATAACTCATGGAAGTGTATGGGCCCCTGACATTTGTGCATATAATTAAGTATTTCACTTAATTTTATGTACAAATGTCAGGGACCCCTACACTTCCATCCAAGTCTTTAGGCCACTATCAGAGAATTGTAAACAAGCTTATGAAATACTGTAAACCCTGCGCTAATTTAGTAAGGTACTGTCTTAAAACAGCTGGAAAATCACAGCGCTCTTAGACATTCAAATTGCATACACATAAGTTTGAAGGCTACATGAGGACGTTTTATGACTACAAGAAAATGACGCAAATTTAGTAAGGTACTGTTTTAAAACAGCTGAAAAAATCGGGGGCTATATGGGGCAAGTTTTATGACTACATGAAAATGAAGTTAAATTGCAGTATTAGCTATTCAAACTGCATTCGGACATGATCTCATGCACGTGGCCAGTTAAAATAAGTTGACTGTCAAACCTATGCATTGCATACTGGTCATATAAAGTATTAAAAATACAAGAAACTAACCTTGTTTAACGGTGGGGTAGCAGAAAACTATAGCTTGTCTGCAGCGGCAAATTGGCCGATGTGCGCATGTGCAGTTGACCTAAAACTGTAAACCACTATGTTTGTGACTGTTTAACGTGAAAAAAAAAAAGGTGACAATGCTGTCAGGCCATGATCTAGGCCTGTAATCAACCAAATAAAGAAAAAAAAACATCTTGGTCCACTAAACCTCCAGAAAATCTGCTTCCTTAGACTAGCATGGTTTAGCATACTGTTGTGTATAATGGGACTCGTAGTCCATGTAAGGGATATTACTACCGTTCAGACAAACGGTCAAACAAAACAGAGTTAAAAAGTACTCACACCTTTTACAGTCATTCTCATTGAGGTACTCTAGTTAGTGTTTATTTGGGGATCAGTAAGTATAATTCATTTTAAATTTTACTTTCAGAAAAACTTGAAGAAATTGCAAGTCTTGTACTTAGATCCTTCAGATGGAAAGTGTGGATTCTGCCTACAACAGTCATAATTGAGAGTGTAAAATGTAACCTTGTAGATTTGTATGTCACTTTAGAACATCATTGTTCACATGCCTCAGGCCTAACGAATGCTTTCTGCTTTCTGAAACATTACATTGTTTTGTTGGACATGAAAGATTCTTGCTGTGCGAGGTGTCTTCAGGCAGGGAGTGGAAGCAGCCGGTAGATGGTCGATTCGTTTTAATAGCAAAACGTCAAACAAAACAGGTCCAACAATAAAGCAAAATAAACGAGCGGAGAAGTATTCAAGGAAATCTCGTACAACAGTAGTTAATATGCAAATTCTGGGTGTGTGTTCAAATCTTGTAGGCCAATGGAAGAGAGAGGCTAGGCCTCTTGTGGCCAATCATATTATTGTTGTTGTATCATGTTATGCCTGCAGTCGCCACTATGTGGCACTGCTGTTCCATGATTCAGCAGTGTTGGAAGAACCTTTTGTTGCTGAGTGGGGGGTTATCACAAGGGAAGTGGACCAAGCCATGAAGTCCAGTCAACCACAGGTGGTCATGTAGATCAAAAGGAATGGATGGCTTCAGGGGTTCCCTGTGAGAAGGTAGATTGGGAGATCTCCCATTGTTCTCAGGAAATAGAAAGTTGGTGTAAAGAGAATTTGGGGAAATTCTCTTTGAATGTGTGGGGCTATGTGACTGTGTGCTCGGGAAAGCCATTTGGTGTCTTATCAGCTTCCTGCTGCAGACCCAACCAAATGTGAAAACCACCGAAATCTAACAGACACAAGGTTCAGATATTCAGCTTCAAACTGACCATGACTACTGACAAAGCCAATAGTGACATTGTTTTATACTGTACTTCGGCATATAATCAGAATAGGGTTTATTGTTCAAGTATGAGCACATACATGGAATTTGACACCAACTTTACATAGCTTTAATGTTTCAATGACACAAACTTGACAGTAAGTTACATAAAAACAAAGGGCTAAAAGTAACAAAAAATATGGATACATACAGTGAGAAGGTGAACTTTGCCCTCTTATTGTTTCAATGTGGCATCACAGGGCTGCACCTAATGCACCCCCAGCCCTGCTGCAGTGGCATTATTTATCTGTTTGTTGTGAGCGAGGATGTTGAGAACATGTCAGAGGTGTTGCTGAAGAATTAAAATGTAATAGTGTATGGTAGTAGGGTTGTCTTTATTTTAAAAAAAAGTCTTTATTGTCATTGTAACTCGGGGATACAACGAAATTAAGCCTCTGCTCTGCTCTTAACCCATCACCAAGGTGAGCAGTGGGCAACTTTAAGCACCCCAGAAGCAGCGTGTGGGGACGGTGCAATGCTCAGAGCACCTCAGTAGTAACTTGGAAGCCTTCCGGACCCAAACCCGCTTCCTTAACCACTAAGCCATCACTGCCCCGTACTAGTACTGCTATATGAATGTAAAATATGTAGCATGTTGATTAACTATTATTTGTAGTTTCCTCTGCCAATGGTATTGTCCAATTTCATCTGTGATTTATTTAAAAGAGTAGGTGAAGAGCCTGCAGGGGGCCAGTAGAAAACAGTGAGTGCAGTATAACCTTGTTGCTTTGGTTTACTTTTGCCGGTTTTCGATGCTCAGTATTGATATTTGAATTTGCTAGTTTGACTTGCTGTTTTATGAGTGGGGCTTCTCTGGGTTCTTTTCTGATGAGTATTGTTGTCGGCGTGTTCTTTTATTGGATAATGAAGAGAAGCAATCAGGTTCTAATTGAAGCGGTCTTTATTTGCAGAGCTCTTGGTTTTTATGCTTGTGTTACAGGATGCGCATCGAGAGCCAAATTCTAATTCTAATTTTCCTCCAGTACGCCGAGTGCATACTTTTATATCAACAATACATATTTTCCAAGAATGAATGTATAATACATATTTTCCAAGAATAAATGTCTATGTGGGTTCTAAAGCGTATCTTTCAAGAATCAATGTCTATCTATTCCTTCTAAGAAATAGGTCTTGGTATGGTTGTGTCACTAAGTCACATCTGCAGAGCATGCACTATATGTCTATATTTAATATTATGTGGTTATGGAGCAAGCGGGTCTAGTGCAATGTTCGTGTATCAGCGGCGTCTTATGAAACCTTGTGTGGTGTGAGCAGGTGGTGTGAGCAGTTCGTGTATGGTGACATGAGGCCTTCAGTATTAAAATATTCCTTGTCTTTCGGTGCCAACTTTTTTTAACCTACGTGAAGCTGCCCCAGCCTTTCTTCCAAATTGTTGAAATAGCGATGTTGTTCGTTTATGCTACGTTTATGCTGGTTTGTGTTGTAAAAAATTTTGTTTGTGCTATTAAGGCTTGGGAGTTATTAAAAAATACTTTTTCTGACCTGTGACGTCACGCAGTCCCCCCTCATGTCCAAATCACTCCAAATTAGTCTCTATCGTTTGTGCCGCGTTTGTGCTGGGCCATTCAAGAACAGTCACAGAGTTTTTGTGAAGCCACTCCTTGGTCATTTTAGCTATGTGCTCAGGGTCATTGTCTTTTTGGAAGTTGAACCTTCAGCCCAGTCTGAGGTCCTGAGCACTCTGGAGAAGGTTTTCATTCAGGATATCTCTGTACTTGGCCGCATTTATCTTTCCTTCAATTGCAACCAGTCGTCCCTGCAGCTGAAAAACACCCCCACAGCATGATGCTGCAACCACCATGCTTCACTGTTGGGAGTGTATTGAACAGGGAATGAGCAGTGCCTGGTTTTCTCCACACATACCGCTTGGAATCAAGGCCAAAAAGTTCTTGGTCTCATCAGACCAGAGATTCTTATTTCTCACCATCATGGAGTCCTTTAGGTGTTTTTTTTAGCAAACTCCATGCGGGCTTTAATGTCAGCCACTGTGCCATAAAGCCCCAACTGATGCAGGGCTGCAGTGATGGTTGACTTTCTACGACTTTCTCCCATCTCCTGACTGCATCTCGGGAGCTCAGCCACAGTGATCTTTGGGTTCTTCTTCTTTCTTCTTTCCTCTCTCACCAAGGCTCTTCTTCCCTTATTGTTCAGTTTGGCCAAATGGCTAGGGTTCTGGTCATCCCAAACGTCTTCCATTTAAGGATATTGGAGGCCACTGTGCTCTTAGGAACGTTAAGTGCAGCA